TCAGGAGAGATGCGAATGGAGAGGCATTGTCATTGGAAGATGCAGAGATGGTCTTGTCTTGACGCGATGCGCTCGTCCGAAAGGAAACAAAAAAAAAGTGTATCATATCCCGCACAAACATTCTTGCAATCTCATTAGGCATTGCCCACAAAACACTGTCGGGGGAATATTTGCGCACACAAAGATGGGAGAGAACGACGTTGCAAGTCTGATGTTGGAAGATTTCGATGCAGCGTAAAGGACCGCTCATGATCGTTTCTTGCTCCTCTCCTTTTGGAGATCCTTTTTGAACTTGCTCTTGCCGAGCGATGCAGGTCGAGTCTGAGCAGAGTCCAAGAATTGAGGATTGCCCTTGGCATCTCCCCTCCTACCTCTAGCTCTATCCAGCGCCTTGTCTCTTCCCTTTCCTCTCAGTTCCTCGTACGCATCCTTTTCCATTCTCTTTCTTCTTCCACTCCCACCTGCTCCTCCTCCTCCTCCAGAACTCAACAGTCCTCCAAATTCGTTCATGAGACTGTCAGCTCCGCCACCCCTCTCTCCGCCGCCCAAAGCCAAGCTCTCCTCTTCCTTTCTACGCCTCTTGGCTTCTTTACCAGAAGTGGCCAACCTGGTCAAATTCGACTCTTCGTACTCTTGCATCTCGGCCAACTTTCTAGCTCGGGAAGATGTGCTTGCGGAGGAGGAAGCTTGAAGAGCTCCTCCACCGGATCCACTGGATGAGGCTTCGTATGGTAGGGAAGAGAGACTTTGAGATAGATCGTTGAGCAAGGATGCGTTGCGAGGTAATGCTCTTCTCGATCTTGAACGGGACGAATCTGGACCACCCGCTTCTGCTTCGTCGGAAGAGATGCCTCCGCCGTCGACTTGGTCTGCCCCACGTCGCACACGTGGTCGATCGCCAGTGTAGGGAACGGGAGCTAGGCGGGGTGGACGATAAATGCCGTCCTTGCTTGAGCGAGAAGGGCCATCGTCCTGAGCATCACTTGAGGTTCCCGTCGAGGCGAAAGCGTCCAGATTGGGCCTGAAAGATAACAAGTCTGATGAGGAAGCAAGGCAGGCAAGTGGGAGGATGGTGAGCACATCGTGAACAAAGCAGTGAACGCCTCGAGCGGACTGCACACCGAGCAGATCGGAAATGCTTCATCGCATACATCTCCCTTGCACAGCCGCTCCAACTTCCATCCGCGCACCCTCGCTCATGGTACAAAGAGTATGGCTGCCACTCCGCGCTCACCATGATCACCATGATCATCATGCCCATCCACCCGAGCCTCATCCGTCTGCTTATCTCCCGACTTTTTGGCCAATTCGATCCTACTTTGACTCTCTTCAGCCGCTCTGACCACTCTATCGATGCCGGGCTTGGCTCTAAGTTCCAGTGCCCTGACCCTCTCCAAACAAAGTCTGATCCTAATCAAAGCGACGACCAGTTCGTTTGCTTGATCGTCCTTGGTACCGGAGGAGATGGAACGATTGGATAGTTGGAAAGAGGATAGAAGAGAGAGAGCTTGAAGATACTCTAGCATGAGAGAGGGCTTGAGGGAGAGAAGACTGTGCGCATTGTCCCCTGAGGAGAGGGATAGCACGGGACTAGAAAGATCAACTTTGGATAGATGACTTTGCAATGAGATGAGAGTGGAGCTGAGCGAAGAGGCTGGGGTGGAGGTCGAGATGGAGGTGCTCCCTGCTTCCTGGCTCGCGCCTGCGCCCGCCTTTGACTGCATCCTCGCAAGCAGGTGCGTGATTGCTGTAACAAAAGAGTCTTTGATCTGCTGGACAGGGCAGTGACCATTCGTACACTGAGCAGGTGGGCGATGAGGATCAAGACTAGTGTCAGGTCAAAGGATAAACGACGGATGCCGTGTGTAGTGAGAGAGCTTCGCTGACCTGCAAAAGTCAAGTTTCGAGTGGATGCGATGCGATATTTAGGTCGTGAATATGCCAACCCCCACCCAAAATTTCGACTTGGACTTGCGCTCACGTGACTCGTGACTGTGACTCTATTGCGAGTCACGTGAGAGAGAGTTGCTCGTGCCGCGCGCACACGCACGCATCACCGCGAATGCGCTACGCTATGCTGTTTGCGCTATGTGCATATGTGCTGAACCCCTCGATCATCCCGCGGTTGGTAGGCATGCACTTATCGCCGGCAGTTGTCGAGGCAGAGCAGCAGCAGCAGCAGCAGCTCCACGTACGTCTACGCACGCACGGCTTGGCTTCAATTCCAACATCGCTCATCGGTCGGTGACTTGTGACAGCGCTTCATATCTGCAATGGCTCATGCTTGTCTGATAAGTCACCAGTGACAACGCATAGCTCCCACCTCCTCACATTCGCCGCCCCATCACCCACAAGCGCACTCGGGCTCGACGAAGAGCGCAACACGCTTGAGCGGCCTCTTCATCCTCATCTCGTCGGCCTCGCTGCTTGCCCGCAATTCTAACCCGCCCAAGCAGCCGCTCTCTCCACACGCAGCTTTCTCTTCGGATATACACCAAACATTGCTCATCATATCCCAAAGCATCAACAACAGCAAATCAAGTCGGTCACTGCGATTCTGCTATCCTCGGTCCCAAGCGCAAATCGAGCATCAGACCGACCTCTCGCCTCGCACTTCCTATCCACTCTTCACGGCAGCATGGCCGACGATGATTTGTCGGAGCACTACGGAGTGGCAGGCTCGTTGGGCGATGAGCTCAACGATCTGAATGAGGCCGGAATGGGCAACTCTTTAGGCGATGAGCTCAATTTTGATTCGCACGTCGACGTGGATTTGCACCAAGGCCTGGCGGGTGGGGCAGGACAAGGAGCGAGCTTGGGAGACGAGCTGCTGGGCGATTACGATGCATCGCGCGAGCTGGACGTCGGGGAGTCGTTGGGTGCAGAACTGGGCGAAGAAGCAGCAGGTTCATCAGCAGGGCAAGGGGCGAGTCAAGTCGCAAGCAACATGACCGCTTCATCAGGCTCCAAGACTACAGCGACGGACGAGTTGCATTTTGTCAACGAGGAACAGATCAACTCTACGTGCCAAACGCTCGAAGAATGCATCGCTTTCAACGACCGTTTCTTGCAATCTCTCGGTAACGCTTCTCTTGCTGGTTCTTCAAGTGGCATACCTAGATCTCTATCCACCGCCAACCACGCATCGTCAGGAGGAGGAGGAGGGGGAAACAGCAAAGAGGATGCCTCAAATATCGAATCATCTGCCGAGGCGGTTGTTAGGCAGCTAAGAGAAAGTGCAGTGGAGAGGGAAGGCCAAGCCAGGGAGCTGAGAGAGTTGGCTAGGGAGCTCATCAAGGGCGATTTTGTTCTTACCGGTGCTCCTGCCTCGGATCTGGATTGGGAGAAGATAGAGAGTCTCTCCAAATCAAAAGATAGACTGGGCTTCCTCGCTTCCACCTCCAACGTAGCTGATGCTGCTCGCGCCAGCTCCTCATCGATCCCACCTCTCAACCGACGCAACAGGCTCAGGGGCATTTCAGAGGATGAGGAACAAGAATCG